TTTAGGATCATTTTAGGTTTATTGTACCATATCGTACATGGTGAATTTATTGAGTTTCCAGAGTTTATATTTAAAGGTATGGTTAATATTGTTTTCTTTTTATACACAATAACTAAAGCTAAAAATAAATTACTTTAATAATTAAATAAAATGAAAATAATTTCATCTAGCTTTGCAAAATTAACTGAGCTTTTATAGAGACCTCGATAAACGCATCCTGTATGGAGCCCTGCATAATAGTAGTATTAATCGAATGAACAGAGATTGAAAGAAGGCAGAATTATCGAAATCTTCGCTTATGACCTAAGCATAATCGGATTAAAGTAGAAGGTAACAATTTAAGCAAAATGCAAAGTGCCTGAACATAAGACTTGCCCGCTCAGTAAGCATACCAGCTGGGGTAAGGAGGAACAGGTTTATAGGTTGGTCCATAGTGTAAAGTGTCATTAGTAATTTTAGTAATTAGTGCTTTGGAATCCTACTTGATGAAGTTCAGTAAACGTGTTATCCAACATTTGAAGAAGACCATGGGGAACAGCACTCCTAACAAAACAGATACGGTGACTAGAGTCAAGTCAAATCAGTCAGGATTAACGGATCAGAGTGTGTGAAAGAGTGATTCGGGGAGCTGAGGGAAATAGTTTTCTGACTGTAAATGCCAAGTTGAGTCAGATATTCTGTCACACCTAGGGTTAGGAAACTAGCCAGAGATATGTTAATGTCTGTTTAGCCCAACTCAAAAGACCATGCCTGTGGAGTACCTTATATCAAACAATTTAAAAAGTGCTATTAAAATGGCGATAGGCAAATAGTTAGATGCGAGTTTATTGGGTAGGTGGAGACACCAGGATTGAAGGAGAGATACCACAATCGTTTAGTGGCAAGTTGGTCAAGAAATGGCTTTACTTTTTATTTTACAAGTTGTATTTTGGCTGTATGATTGGGAAGTTCCACTGACAGTGTTAACTAAGATGCCAGCGAAAGGTCCGGAAATGTATCATGTCCCTGTTTGAGACTGGAAATTATCAAAATTATTATAGCAGAGTGGCATTTATCGAGGTCGCACCGAAGACACTACCGATTGCGCAGAGTGATTTATAATAATTTCTATTGCACAAAAATAGAGAAAAAATTTAGAATAAAAATTATTGTTTTATTCATCTAACAGTAAACTATTATGCTTTTCATTTTATATTTTATTTAGCATTTCATCTAATAATAAAAAGATTTTCTCTGTACTATGGTTTTTAGACATAAAGACTGTCCTTTCGATTTTCATATTTGACAAATAGCCAATAGCTTATATGAGATAAAAGAAAACATTTACTTGTCAATAAAAACAAATATTATATTGGTTTTTCATTATGTAAATTTACCCAGCTTTATCAGAACTGATGTTACTGCTACATGAGAAACTGCAAGCTTCACTCAACAAATCCGAGGGTATAGTATCTAAACTCTGTTCTAAAGGATTAGAACGGGTGGCTCGGAGAGGATAAATCTTGGGAACTCGCAGCAGATCGGGTCCGTTGGCTTTCTCACAGCGTCTACGTCGACGCCTGGAAGAAAAGGCCCTCCGAATTAGGCGACTACTTTCTTCAATCATATGGCCTCCTTTAATTGAATATGAAGCCAGAGATTCAAGCTTAGACAGTCGTTTGGACTTGAGGTACTAATATGCTCAAGCTCACTTTCCAGTTTGGCTTCTAGAATCAACAGGGTAAAGAGTATTAGGCATTAAGATAGATTCATTGATAAATTTATCCGTTTCGAGGACGAAGATATGGTTAGTATGAGCCATGCTAATTATGAGGAAAATGTTTAGTTATGTCTTCCACAAAGTTTCTTAAGTTGTTTGACCTTGTCTAGTACAGAACATTAGTGCATGTTTAATGCGGACATGTTATTCACATATCGTTTTTATGAGTTAATCACATAAATTTATTATTAAGGATCATCGCTTAAAGAGAAGATTCAAAGATTTGG